TCATTCATGCCTACCCGCCGCAGTTCACCAAGCCTGGTGCCGCCTCTGGTAGTTGGGCAGGCACGCAGTCCCTAGATGGCTGGTGGGGTCATGCCAAACGAAACTGCCAAGGAGTGAATGCCGCAACACAGAATGCTTTGAAGCAGCGTATCCATGAGGCCCAATGACACCACTGGGTGAGGACATCAGACAGATGGCTTGCAGCAGGAACCGTGCTCAGATGGCACTTTGAGACCGCATAGTGCGCCCAAAAAACGGCGCATGAAATCGTGTGCCGTTTTCCTGGTGCTACAAGACCGCTGGGGTAGGTCAAGACATGCGAATTCGCTGCGCCTGCCACACTTTTCTACACTTGCCTTAACCCTCCACTGTCAGGTTTTGCTTCCGGGGTGTTTTTTTTTCTTTGCCGCGTGCCTTAATCAAGGAAGGTAATCGACCTTAATTGAGGCCGATGACTTTAAGGACTATAAACTCTAACTAGAGTTGACTGTTTAAGGCCGCTTTCCTGAATGGACTATTGGGGCTACTGGGTACACTACCGGCAGTCGATCGTCGCTGAGGAACATTCAAAGGAAACATTTCGGTGAAACACATTGATCTCAGTCCGCAGCACAAAGACTTAAAGCAGCCCCTGGCATTGCACTCTGTACATGCAGATCATGCAATCATTCGGCAAAGCATCTCAAGCGAATTCGGAAACAATCGGCAAGCATTCGCCAGACAATCGCCAAACATTTGCCGGACTTTCGCCAGAGCTTCGCCAGACATTCGGGCGAAACCTCCAATCTCCATTCGGAGTTTCGGGGAAAACTTTCGGAACACGACTGCAATCCCTTCCGGATCGAAACGAACATCCTACATTACATCGGAAAACATTTCGGCAAGCGGAGAAATTTCGCTCGCATTATCTCACACTCTATGTCTTTGGGTTTGGGTCTTTAACTTTAGGGCAACGCGAAACATTGCCCATGCAGTCATGACAAGCAGCTGCAGTCACTTTACACTAGACAAGACAGCAACACCGTCCTCTTCGGAAGGTCATGCTCAGTCGCCATAAACGAGAAGTCAATCTGGATCGCTGGCTGGCGATCCTTCTTCTTCACTTCGTGGCTCTGTCGTCCTTTCGACCTCACGCATTGCTCACACCAATCCCGATAAGGCAGGTGAGTTAGTTCGTGCAGTCGCCGTTCACTCTCAGGGGGGTCACTTGGAACCTTGAGCATTTTCGACTTCAACGCACTTTTGTCCTCAGTCTCGTGCTTGACATTCTCACCAACAGCCGGACGATCAAGCGGCACAAACGGTGTGTGTCGAGTTCACTTGTGACCGACCCCGTGGTTCCTCACATTCCATTATGGATCACTGCCGGGTCACTCGAGTCGAAGAACGTTGTGTACTATCACCCCACGAGCATTCACTCAGCCATCCGCATGAGAACTCGCATCATCTGGGTGGAACTAAGAGTCTCGCCTTTCATGGTGCATTCGTTTCCAATATCGAGGGAGGGTAACAGTCCTGGGCGCTGCAGTCTCAGGGTCCTCGAGATTGAGCAGTCGCTACAACAACTCTTTCATTTCCTCACCATGCCGAGGTGGTGAGCGCAACGCATTCTCAAACTCATGCTCCTCAACGTTTCGACCCACTCCACAGGCCTTTTGGAGGCGACTTCGTTTTGCGTCTCAATTTGTCGATCTCGCTCTCTCAGGCTGTGAGAACTGCTCATGCAATCTATGCCAAATCTCGAATCCAATCTCCGTGTCCTTATTTTGAATGAACAATCGCTCTTGCGGCACCATCAGTGATTTGTGCCTGAATGTAGGCCAGTTGTCGTGCGAACAATGACAGTTGATTGTTCTATGTCTCGTTTGTTGAGCGTCAACCGCCTCATGCAAATCATCATCAATCATTCGGTTGGATCCTTCAGCATCGTCCATCAACACTTTGGCCAGCGGCTTGTGCAGTCCTGCGTATCGTTTCAGCTGCCACGACCAATCTTCCCATTTCCCCAGCTCTCCAAGATACAGTGGTGGTGGGAACGGTTTGCTCTCACCACTAATCCCTCTGTTTCCAAACTCCACTTTGTCAGTCCCTGATTCCAGAGCCGAAGTTCCTCTACCATGCAACATTCAACAATACAATCTACACTATCCAGGGCAACCAAGATCAATGTCTTTCAGTCACCACACGCACATCGACATTCCTTTGTGATGTCCAGCCGATCTGTCCAGTCTTGAGCCAATGCCATCCGGCATCGTAGCATTCAAATGCATCGTGAACATTCGGGGTGTATTGGGCTCGTGACATTTAGCAAAGAAAGAGAGCGAGCGAGCGAGCCGACGAACGAAATCAGCTTAACTCGACAGACTGCCTTTCCAGAGCCCCAAACTCCTCGAAATCGTGCGGCACTGCAATTCCCGCAGGTTTCACTGCCGAGGTTGCAGGCTACAGGCAAGTTTATGTCCCCGCTTGCTACTTTTTGCAGCATTGGCTCCTGGTACCGAACCTTTGGGAGGAAAGCCTTACCAGCAGAGCATTCGCATTCATTGAAAATGGAGCCCCTCACCTTTACGCCGCCAGCCATAAACTAAAATGTCACACCCCATCCCGAGGCTCCAGAACGTTATAGCCAAACATTGCAAGAGCACAAGCAGCTTCAAACCCAAACTCCGCAATACAAGTGTCTGCTAAACTGGCAACAACCGGAAGAAGGACTCACAGCAACACGGCAAGACGAATACAAGGAGTCCTGAACTTGGTAGCTGGCACGCAAAATGCCCAGCATATTCCTTCCGCGCCTTACAATTTAAACACCGGCACCATGGCCGCCATCTTCGACGAAGCGCGGCGATGATTTTCGCCTGCAGCTGCGGAGGGGAACCCGAAGCAAAACACCCTTGTTTCGGGGAGCCCGAACAGACGCTCATTCTCCAAACCCACCAATCAGCGAAGTTGCGAAGGCATACCCCCAGCGTCCAAACCCCTTCAAGAGCAATTTTTTGGTCTTTGTTTCCGCATTGACCTGTGAGAGGTCGCAAAACTTGGCAAGGGATTTAGTGTTAAGCACTACAAGTCGAAACATTGCGATTCACACGGGTTTCGTGAGTGGCAACGTGACGGTAATTTGTTGCGCAGGTTCACAGACTGTAAAGCTCGCGAGGCTGGCATGTACACCCAAGCCCAAGTCCGACCTCAGATCGTTGGAATGAATACTGCGAAGTTTACACACTTTTTCCCTGTCGTCAAGATTTCTCCACGATATGCCATCGGCATTCGGCCGACTACGTGCAAAACGTGAATCCTCCGAGCTCAACCGACGCCCGAAGCTGCACTGCCCAGGGACTCTCATCAGCTGTCTGGGCGCATACTTCCTTTCCATGGCCATGATCTATCAGACGCCTGGAAGTGTTTGGGGTCTGGGGTTACCCGCCCTGCAACGAGAGGTCAAGCGAATCAGCTAAAGTCACCGGGTTTCTGATGAAATTCTTCAGGCCTCGGAGTGGCAAGCTGATTCTTGAATTAGCAAGCCGCGATGCAGAAGGTAATCCATGGCAAACCCAAAGCATTAGGTCGTCTTCTGCGTCTTCAAGTGTAAGGCAGTGTACGGGCAGCAGAAGGGAATCTCTGAACGGGACGATGGCCACGGTGTTGGTGTGGCGCCTCCGAATCTCCAAGGCTCGAGCATTAGACTTAGGAGGCTCTAAACGCTCAACTTTAACCTCTTGGGGTTCAGGTTGCCGAGCCCTAGATCCGGGGCAAAAAAAGCTCTAAATCCCTGATCCCAACTCCGCAGTGCGTTTGCTTAGACCTGAACTTCAGAACTTCATGCCACCGCCAGGGAGTGGAAGACGGGTTCTGTAAGTCCATGTTCATTCGGCACCTCCCGTTGCTTTGTCTATGCTTCCGATGTTGCTTGATCGATGACAGCCACAATCTCAGCATGAAGCTGATTCCCAAAGCACTGACTCACTAAACCTGATGAGCAATGACTTCTGAATTCGAAATGCAGACAACCCCAAGCCATACCGCCGAACCCAACACAAGGCATGCTCAACTCTAAACCGCAGCAGATATCCGAATGCCCCGTGCCTGAACTCCACCATGCGATGTGCTGAATGACCCAAGCGTCTCGACTGCATATCTGAAGAAGCCTCTTGAATCTCACACGGTTACCGAGGATGAGCCCCTTCTTTCAAATCTATGCCAAGGCTCTGACAACTTTGGGCTCGGGGTCCAGTTTTGGGAAAAGGCGCATTCAGGTTCTCGCCTTCAGGGTGTGAGGCTCGAGTTTTGGGGGTGCCGTGTTGCACAGCCTTCGTCTAAAGCCCCACAGACTTCTTGTAGCGTTTCTGGCTTCAGGATATTCAGAAGGGGTAGATTTTTGATGGGCCCTGTTTAATGCCTGGAGGTCGGGGGTTTGGAGGTGCTTACGGACAGGACAGTTGCCGCTGTGCTCGGGCCTTTCGTACCCCGGAAGCGCCGGAAGGCAGCTTGTTGAGATGTTCGGCACTGGCATCAAGTTTCGGATAACTGTAATCTTTCGGAGGTTACAAGTAGCACGATGCTGCGTGCCCGTATGTGCAGTAAGTTTTGCATCGTGTCTTTGAAGAAGCTTTCGACGAAGAAGATGGCTAGCGCCATTGCAGTAACAGATGGCCACGGCGTAGAGACACACGACAGTATGATGTTTCACGTCCGCAACCGTGAGACCGTGACCTGTTTACTGTACGCAGCATAAACTCCAGAGGCCCTGATGACGCACATTTCAGCCACTCACGTGCTTCGACATGGTGTCGTGAGCTCTCTGAAGTCGAACCCTGAACCTCCAAAGCCCTGAACAAAACAAGCGCACATTCACATTCACAAAACAGCAATTGACATGTTGCATGACTGTAGCAGATGCAACTGGAGTCCTCGCAGTACTACCCAGTAGTAGCAAAAACACTCGCCCGAAGGAAACCTGTGGGGCCAGCGAAGCGACTGTCGGGCTCATCTTCGCCGTAATGCCGTCAGCGTGTTTCCTAGGCTCGGAACAAAATCACAGCTGGGTTGGTGGTCTTGGGACAGATGACTAAAAGACCTTCATCGTCGCCCAGATCATCTTGGCCGTGATGGGTTCCCACCGTGAGTGGGCCAAGCAAAAACCGTTCCACTGTTACCGTACGAGGGCTTTAGATGCTGCAAGACGTTTCAATTCAGGCGTCTCAAACCAAAGTTGCTTGCTGTTGGCATTCCTGTATCAATGTTGGCCTTGAGTTTGTTTGCCGCCACTCCTTTCCCGCCGAAGTGAAAACTTACGGAGTTACAAGCAACAAGGACACACCCGCGGTCCGAGCCACGCCTTGAGCTCTACATGGGCCTCACTAAGTATAGCGATCGCCGCAACTGTTCCTGCTGCCGCTGCCACAACAGCAAGAAATGCTATTGTTCCTGCTCCTGCTGTTGCTGCTGCTTCGGGTGTTCCCGCTATTTTACCACTCTACTACTCTTGTGCTACTACTGCGAGTCACTAGTCAATACTAACAGTACAACTTGTTCTACGAAGACGACAACGAGCGCGACGAAGACTTCTACTGCTACTATTCCTGCTGCTCCTGCTGCTGGTGCTACTGCTTCAACTGCTTCAAGTGCTACTGCTGCCGTGCCGCCGCTACTGCTGCTACCGTCACTGCTGCTGCTGCTGCTGCTGCGACTGAGACTGCGGCTCCTACTGCTACGAGGCTCCGGCAAACTACGTACGAATCTGGGACAGTGGGAGCTCAGGCTCTGTATCTGCGACAGCAGCAGAAGTTGCACAGGCTTAGTTTCCTTAAGGTGAAGGTGGAGAGGGCCAAGACAGCGACAGCAGCTTGAGTTTGCAAGCTGGACAGGGGAAAGAAACTGCTAAATGAAAGGGTGGTGAGATACAAGTACGAGAATCACTTGTAAAACGAAGGTGCTGCTAAGAACGCATTAACACCTCTACAACAATAAAAACCTGAAGCCGAATATTTCTAAAAAACAAAAAGCCGGAGGAGCGGCTGTCCGTGGGAGGGGCTCGCCAACACCTCTAGAGCCCTTGCTTTGGAAATAGTGTGTTGTATTTGTGCACTACAGCGTCGTGGCTACTACTCCTACTACTGCTACTACTACTACTACTACTACTACTACTACTCCTGCTACGACTACC